TATAGTGCTCGACATAAACGATTTTTTTTCTTATACTACAAGAAGTTATGTAATTGATACGTCACCCTAGCCCAGCAGGATGATATAGGTATCGAATGGATATTTTCTGTTAGTTTACTTAGTCCGATATTTGATTGTCTTTATTACCCCAAGAAACATTATTGTTTATAATAGGGACATATTATACAACAAAACATACATATAAAACATAATAAATCGAAACAATAATAATTGCACAATTATTGTTTTTCCTGAAAAAAAAGAATTATAATAAAATATAAAATGAAAATATCATAATCCATTACAAGTAATCAAATTGTGAATGATTAGTACTATCAAAGTTTACTGAGCAGATATTTCTTTAATTTCATTTTAAATTCTTCTGCTTCTTCTATATTTTTCAACTCATTAGGTAAGGAGTTATACAAAATTATTTCATTAGGTATATATGAATATTACCACTGAAATGCAATACAATGAGGCTGCTATTGAAATGATATGCGTTGGGGTGGTTATGACTAAGGTCACTCAGGGGGTTGGTGGGGGTATTTCATGAGTCATTTCATCTTCCACTTTATATATTATTCAAACAGTTATGAACCATTCGTGATATGTATCTCATTTTGTCATGAGTAACATAAATTCTAAGCTTTCAAATTGTCTTCATCCTATATTTGGCAAACCGGACATTGTATATCAGAGGAAACCATATGAATTCCTATGTTGATGATCAAGATCCATAGCGTGTCAAATAATTGGCCGATTCTAGCCATTTGTTTTCAAGTTTTCAGTGATTGAGTATAAAATTCTGATATTGTCAATATTTGTCTATTCCCATGAATATTACCTTGTCATGGTGGAAAGCAATATCTTGTATGTGACATTATTATCTATTCGAATAGAGGGATTCATGAGGTAGGAATTAGATGTGAAGCGTTAATTTCTAATGAAGATTTATCACGTTTTAGAGCACATAATTTAAATCGATGCAAAATATTCTAAACAGCCAAAATTGATTGACACCCTGTAGTTCGAAAACTGGTCATAGGATCGATCTGTTTATTGGACTGTATAAGGAATCTAATATCTGAATCATATCAAATCTTCAGAAAAATTAGCAGAAAGCCATTTTCCGTACTAAATGTGCGGGGTCCTTTGTAACGCGAGAGTGTTCTTGCAAAGCCCGCGAGGACCAGCAACATATCAGTTTGTTCACAATAAGATTACATTGTAGCCATGATCAATAAACAGTCCGACTAATTAGAGTAATTTCCAAGAATGCGCAGGATGCATCAGATCAGAAATTATTTATTTGCAAATGAACCTCGAGACATCAAAAATTAACACGATACAAAACGCATATTTCTGAAGAGAATATCTTTCTGGAAAAAAACCTGGAAGTGTCCAGTCTGAGCTCTTGACCTTGAAACACTTGCAGGTCACTGATGATTATCAAAAATATCAAAACGTTACTTACAGTCACAGAACGTGCCATGCCAAAAATTATGAAAATCTATCTCAGCCTACTCTTTTTATGAGCAAAATTATTTTTTCCAGAAAAACTTCAACGCCTTGTACCAACTCAACGAGACGAATTTGGATATAGTTAAGTTGACCTAAATCAACTTGTTTTTATTTCAGGAGTCCATAGCCGGGTCATGTCCCAACCTTTTACAGACACCCTGTATATACTGATGAAAAATATGTATTATAAAATGTCATTCAAAATATTCAGGCCGACTATTGAAAATCGCTCAGAGTTAGGACGAAATGCGACGTTGATGTTGATCTCCCGTAACGCCTTCTGGGCATAATTTGATAATCCTTGAGTGTTCCTGAAGGCAACCTCTTAAGACAGCCATTCAAATTTCCCATTTCCCTTGCCCTTCGCAAAGGGGGACGCAGGTGTTATTTTGAGAAAACCGGCCCGAAGTGGATAAATCCAAGTTGGCTCTTACTTCGACGGGGATTATTCGCTTGTTTATATTCCGGCATTAAACTGCTGAACATTCGAAGAAGATGTCAGTTTGGGAACTATTCAGATTGTTTATCCACTCATCAAAGACAACGAAGAAAATTTCAGTGAGTTATACTAATAAAAAAAGAGGAGAGTAAATAATCTGGCACTTCTGGCAGTTTTCTATATATAAATCATCGAAAACACTGTATACTGTCGCCATTCCATATTCTTGAATTATCATACATTGAATGGACAGCAGGACAGCACCATTTATTCTTACGGCTCTTATGCTAAAAATTTTATGAATTTCCAGTCGAACTTCAAAATCCAATATTTTTCAAAAGATTTTTGTTTGACATGACAAAATTTCACTTTCAATTATTCGTTTTCGCCCACACGGTCGAGGGGTCACGTGACTTTTTCAATACTAGCCAACAGTCACATTTCCTCAGATCAATCGCTGGAAATAGGCTTACTTGTTTGAATCTCAAAAAAATTCACAAAGAAAAGATATTTCTATTCCAATTTCAGATATCTGTCTCGAATTTGAAGGTTCCGTTGCAGTTTTCAGTTTTTGATATTTTTTTCAATATCTACGAAATGTCTGTCACATCAAAAAAAATTAATACCGACAAAACTGTTTCATATACGAAAAGCCTCATCATGCTACTAACTTTCAATTACTTATTATCGACAAAAATATAATTTTCTCAGGAAAATAATGATCATCGCCTCAAATGCCTGTTATGCAAAGTTGATGTATCCTCCATTGTCGTTCTAGATGACAACCTAGTTAGGTAGTTAGTAGGCAGGAGCTTATTATACCACCTCGCACTAGGTTGCCTATACTAGGTTTTCATTTAGATCGACAATGGTATCGTCTAACATTTGGAGGAGCGGAATTGATGGATTGTTTCAGTACTAAAATGATGTTAAAGTTATATATCTTTCAAAATATCATCGAACTGTTCAAGGTTTAGGAAAGTTGAGTCGAAGTTACAGTTAGAAGATATCAACAAATATCAAGAAATAACAGTTGCAATAGAACATTCAAATTCGGGAGACATGTTTAATATCAGAATAGAAACAACTTCTCTCAGCAATAAATTTGGAAAGATATAACTTTCAATATGTAGCGAAAATCTCAACGTCCAAGTTGAATTTTCAAAAAATTATCATTAAGAGTTTTTCCCATATGTATATTACCCATTTCATTTATCGTTACAATTTCGGGAAGATTTCATTCGTTTTGAACACAAACGAAAGCTGCTTTCTGTTGACCAAATGCAGTTTGCACTATAATTTGGATGTGTATGAGGAGAAAGTTGTGAAGAAATATCGCTAACTCTCTAGAGAAGTTTGTTTACTGCAGCCTCGTAAATTTTCCCGGGTTTTTAATATACATTTTGCGGGGGAGGCCAACAGGTAGAACATTATTTTTCCCAGATAGGCCATCCATTTCTTCTTTCTCTCTTCCTCTCATGCGGTTTTATAAAAAAAACTGTCTTTTGTGAGGAAATAATTAATATGCATTGAAGAAGGTCATATGATAATGTTTTTTCTGTGACTTACAATTTTCCTGATGTCATGGGACTAAAATCAGGCATCATAATCATCATGATTTTTATGCTTCATACACTAGCTCAAAATGGAATAGGAACCTTATATTTGTAACAAAACTTTATTGTTTTTATGTGTCTTTCACCAACAATTCCCAGCACACACACCCCTAGTGATATTACTGCCGAGTATTTTTGATGAGTATGGTAGAAATAGTAGTCTCTGGAGGTGTGAGAATCCTTAATGGAAAAACAAACCGTATTTCAGTCGTGAGAGATGTTTGATTTATTGTTTCTTCTTCCGAGATGGATTTCGTGGTCGTCCGGCGATCAGATGAATTCCCTCTAAATCTTTTAACTCCTTATAATTGTATCACGAACATGGTTTTCCACGGAGAATTTCCTCGAGAGGAAAAACCTTATTGAACATTTGACGTTCAATTAGACGATGGCGAGTGTGGCGGAAAAGCTATATGAAAAAACTGGTTGGTTATTTTTGCTCTCTGAATATGTGTTGATAAAACTTTTTTCTGTCTTTTGGGGCGCACGAAAGGGAATCCCTATAATGTTCGAAGAACATCATGCGTAACTAGGGAAAAAAGTGGAAGGTTGTTGACTTTTCTACGGTGTTTCAGTGATGTCAAAGAATGAGTGAGTGTGGCATCATCCACCAGGCGAATGGCTCTTCTCTGGGTGAGTTCTAAATGCATTAGCGCATGTTTGGGTGCTGAACCCCATATGTGAGAACACTATTCTGAAGCAGGTCGTTTCTGCACATTGTAGATCAAGAGAAGTTGTTGAGGCGTAAAGTAGATTCTCGCACTGAATAAAAATCCTTTGTGTAGCAGCTTCCGAGATATGGATCTGACATGATTTTCCCATGAAAGTGTATAGGTACTTAGCATATAGATATAGTAGACTTTGAGGAAATGTTGGTTGGAGAATGGATAAATTCTACATCGGAAGTGTTCATATCACATTTTCAATAAGTATAGCCTTTTTCTGTTTCTTCAAGCCAGCAAAAAAGGAAAATAGCGAAATTAAGGAAATATCAATTCCAAATCAAGAGCAATGTTCATTATCATTATTATCAATTTCTTCAAGACACATTGTAAATCAGCATCAAACTAAACAAACATTTTTCGAAAGTTTCTGTTGTTGATAAAGTTGCTGCTGCAACGTATCTCTGAATAAGGATTAAAGTAATTTCAAATTCGTCAACCTTTTTGTCCTAGTGTGTAAAAACTAGAACATTTTCAATAATTCAGTTTCAAGTAAGCATCTTCAATGTGGTGACTGCATTCAGATTGAGAATCAATTGATTTTTTTTTGACAAATTGTAAACTGTGATTAGCCATGTAAATGGACTTTTCAAGAATCTGAGCATTGAATCTAAATTAATATATAGTCATAGGTAGTTTAATATCTCATCGATAAATGAATTTCATAGAGAACGTATAACTTTTACCTATAGGTACATTATAATATATACGGTCTTTTATTCATTTGAAGTATAACATATAACTATACAATAATGATACTCACACAATAGGTATACAGGATTAGAAACTAAAAACTAAAGGCGACTCAAAACTACCCGTCCCGTCTCTCTCCATGCCCTCCCCGTTGTAATCCTCCACGCTCAACCTCCCGAAATTCTCCGCCACCCTCCTCTCGCTGTCCCTTTTGGTCCTCTCCCTTTTCACGGCCTGCCTGAGTTTCTCGTACTTTTCCGAAATCTGCTCCCTACACGGTAAAAAATCCTATTGAGTGAAGCTATTCGTCAAAATAAAAATGTACAATAGAGTATTGTCACTGACGTCATATGACGTAAATTTGTCGGCCATTGAACAGCTGATGGGGAAGACAAGCATACACATTTTCCGTAAGGGTAAACTTACATGTAACTTCTTTTCATCTCTTGTAGTCCAATAAAGAGTTTGAATAGTTTTTTTGTCAATTTGAAAATAACTGGATTCACTCGAAGTTCAGCGCTATAATATACCTAATATACCTGGTAATATACCTCCATAGATAATGAATTTCCAGCAACGAATATATAGGTAAACATTTTTCACCAATGGGTTAGAAAAAATTAAATCAAAATGCACACCCAGGTTTGTTTGTTCCTCGCTCAGCTGATAAAAACGACGAGTGATATCAGGTGACACTGCTCTATTATTTCCATCAAGAACTTATATTTTGGTGAACATCAGTAAACATTTTTTTTTCTACTACTGCTATGGAAAGTAGCGTATTTATCATAGCTTACTTAGTTTCAAAACCATGTATTGCTCATACTGTGAGGAATATTTTTTCTCACGGCGCACTTTGCCAACACCACATACATTTCCATGGAGAATCAAAAAAATCGACCAAAAGTTAATTGGCTGCTGTTCAGCTTTGAATAGTTGTCACAACTACCAGAAGAGGTTTTTTAAATTCTTTAAGGTAGTTCTCATTAGGGCTTTTGATAAAAATCGCATTTTCCATCAAATATTATTCCAACCATTTATAATAAACACCGCCAGAGACAGAGATAATGGAAAAAGCTGCGGAAGTTGGATTTGTTCACGGAAATTTCGAGAAAAAAGTATGAATTGGCATATACGAATAATGTTTGGAATCTTAAAAAAATTCAGAAATAAAATCTCTTTCGGAAAGTGTACTTTTTTGAAATACTTTGAGGAACTAGGAAAGGGGTCTACTCTTTGGACACAATATTCAATGTGGCATAGTGCCACATTTTAACATGAATACCAATATTTACATTACTTTGTATTCTTTGAATGTATAGTGTGCACCATGTCGGGAAAAGTACTTTTCTCACTCGTGTGTTTGCATCACTCGCCCTTCAGGCTCGTGCCACAAACTTTCACCCTCGTGAGAAAAGTTGAACTTTCCCCACTTGTTGCACAATATACTATTACCTACTACCAATATGTAATGTGAAACATTACAACACTGATTCTAGTATCGCTAGTGCGGTAAAGTGAAAAAAATATAATTTCAACATTTATTTTTACTCATAAAAAGGAATAAAAACCAATATAGCAGGTACTGAAGTTTCGATTGTTACATTCGCCGCAATTTCTAAATCGGAATCAAACTTTCCTGACCCGAATTCATGCCGATGAATTTTTTTTCGAATTGAAATTAACGCGTCAAAGTTGACAGTTCGCTGAATGAGTGACAACCGAGAAAGCAATAGATTCACGACAACCATATGCCCAACCCTTGTAACGCTGGCTTGTTACATATGCCTAATGAATCGTCAGTTCAAGAAGTATTAAATATTTTTAATTAAATAATTATCTTTTTGGTAGTAGGTAAAATATTGTACTATATTCGTATCGTAAACTCATATTACGATAATCGATGGGATGATAATTTTCCCGTCTCATATCGTAATATGAGTCTTCACGATACTCGTATCGTAAATATCTATTACATGATTTCTCGAATATTTTTCATACTTCTGAGACATTTCGTGTCAGTTCAATTCCAATGGTTGCTATAAAATGGTTATACACAATCCGCTGTGGACCAGGATGGACACATACTCATGTGAACCTGATGGAGTTAGAATCAACTCAATATCTTTTACCGTGTATCCAACTCTCTCTTGTTTTTCTTGTTGCCGCCCGGGCGCAACCTGACCTGGTCCACGGAAATTTCTTTGGCGTTTCTGTTGTGCTCTATGAGATCGTCGAGGCTGAACTTCGGCCTGAAGTTGTGCCGTTTGCCCAAGCCGAGGCTTTCCAGTTGTTGCTCCACCAGGTCTCTTTCGGTGGACTTTTTCTCGAGAGGTTCGCTGATGGGAGCTTCTGTACGATCTTCCTCGGTTGGACCTGGAAAATCGCGTATGTCTGTCTATCTGTCTGTTATACAGGGTGTCCCGAAATTCGATTGAAAGATTCCAACTACAGATCCTAGGAACGAAAATAGTAAAAAAAGTTCATATAAACATGGGTCCAGAAATGCCCCCTGCTGGGAAATTAAAGCCAGCTAAAAGCTAGAGCTGAGAGATGATGTTTTTTTGTGAATATTTTCTAAACCCTTTGTGATAATAGGGATTTTTCCATCAAACTATAACTTTTGTGAAAATTCGGTACCCTATTAAGGAAGAAGCACTTTCGTCATCACGCAGCAGAATTTTGAAATCGATTCATCTTGAAAATGGTGAATACTATCAAGGTAAACAAACGAAACGAACAAGTTGGCAGTAAAAATGACCCTTATCTCACCTAATATCCACGCCCGTGGTCATTTCGGAAAATTCTTATCATTTTCAAATCGGGTATGAAAAGTTATGAATATGTACAAAATTTGGTTATTTTAATAATAGGTCTATGTTCAAAACCATCATCTCCGACTCTCCGCCTTTAGATGGCTATAATTCGCCAAGGGTTCATTTCTGGACCCTTGTTTATATAAACTTTTCTCACTATTTTTGTTCCTAGAAATTTTGGTTGAAATCTTTTCATGCAATTTTGGGACACCCTGTATATCTCGAAATGTTCAAACTGGCTCTATGTAAATTATACCTATAATGTCTTTCATTTCAAACTAACCCCAATGAAAAACTTCTAAAGCGTAAACACGTCAAAAATGATGGTATGAGAAATGACACTTTTAAACACATTGGTGACGATTGAGCTCTCGAAATAAGCGCCATCTTAGATTTTCTGTGAAGAATTCATTGAATGGTATATTTTATGGTAATTAAAGTTTTTTTGACCTATTTTTCGATTGAATTATTGACGATTTGTGATCAACCTAATTGAAGGATCTGAATTCAAAGGTCTAGTCGAATATTCTTGAAAAAAAATGCAAATGATATTTCACAATTTTCAATATTGAAAAACGTATAGTATTGAAAATTATAAATTTTGTATATTGCAAATCTGTGTTAACCTGGATCTCTTGATATTCTTTCTGTTGAAAAAAAAATATATCGTTTGGAAACAGTAGATTTCATAAGAACGCTCAAGTGTCAACTGGGTCACACTGTATATTTCAGAATGTGCCCCCTGTATCAAGATCCGAAAACTCCTCGATTTTTCCTGGAAATAATCATTTTTACTAACTCCTGAAGTATGAGCTTTAGACCTTCAATTGTATTATAACCATTTTTGACATCTATCCATTTATTTGAATTCAAAAGTTTAGCGTTATTATTCGAAAAGATTTTTCAACGTGCTATAGGAGTTATAGAGTGAATGCTATATCGAATTCGAATATTGTGAAAAACTGTTCCTATGTATATCATTTTCGAATTTTCTTATATCAAATTGTTGTTTCTAAAGTTATTACGGATGCCTCGTTCTATAATGGAATGCACTGTACAAAATGCTGTCTTTATTTAAGATTTCACCTATACATATCTTGAAAGGTTACCTATATACAATTGGATTCAAATCTGAATTATGCTCAAGAATCTCATTATCTCTTCGAAAACAACTATTATTTTCTGTTTGTATGTATATATCTCAAAATTCAACTGACAACCTGAGAGAAACTTTGAAGATCAGCGTAGATATACTATTCACATTTATTTGTATATTCTATGTACATTTCCGTTGTCAGTCCGCTAATTCACAAAAAAAACTCAATTTCCTATTGAATATTTCAAGATTTCGAAAAATATAATACCCATCGACTTTGATCTTTCGTACCTCTACTCACCTTGAACCGTTTTCTTCGGTCTAGGCGGTGACAGCTGGGCGACAGACAGCATATTGGTCAGCAACTTCAGGTGGTTCAGCACGTATTCTCTCACGGGCTCCGCTCTGGGCTTACACCTGTCCGGCAAATGGTTGTACTTGGCCAACAAATCTTTGAGAACTCGAACCTGCCATGGCGCCAAACAAAACACAATATTCTATTTTATTTGTTGTAGCTATCAGTTAGAGAAAGCGTTCGTGTAACGTTGGGATTTCGTTGGATATTACATAAAATCACACAAAATCACACAAAATCACACAAAATCACACAAAATCACACAAAATCACACAAAATCACACAATTTCACACAAAATCACACAATTTCACACGAAGTCGCACAATCACACATAATCACACAGAATCACATAAAATCACACAGCTACACCAAATAACATTTGCATTTGGTTCAGTGCCCCGTGAAACTGACCTTCTCTTCCAGATTGTCTGCTCTCGAATTGGACTGGAAGATGAAGGTGTCCTGGTTCTGGATGTCGTCGAATTCCACTTCTTCCATTTCTTTGGCTCGCGCCAGGGCATCTTCCAGACGCACCCTGGTGGCCGATTTCAAGTAGCGCAACAGTTTGCCGGGCAGTGTTTGACAGGTGCTCGTTATCTGGAGACGGTTCATCAGATTGGCCATGGCGTTTATCAGCTTTTTGCTCTCGACGTTGGTGACGTCCGGTAGGTTTTGGAAGGCTTCCTGAAAGATCAGAGGCGATCAGAATGGATTAAGACGTGTCAACTGTCAATAACGTATCCCGATTGAATAAAGAGGGAGAACCATAGGAATTATACGGAGACAATTTAGGTTTTGGGATTTCTTTTGAACTTTTGGAGGTCATAAGCAATTGTGAATACTTCCATTGGCGAAGATTTTCAACGCAATGTCGTTCTAAAGACAAACGAGTTGTGATAAAGATTTGTTCGACATATGTCGAGGATGACGACGAATGGATGTGCTGTCGAGTTCGTCTGGCTGGGATTATTGCTAAAGATGGAATGATTGATTTATAAAGAATATTGCCCGGGGAAATCACTATGGAAAAGTGAAAAGTCGTTAACTTCTGATGTCAGGTGATACAATAAGTGAGTGTGGCAGTACCAACCAGGTGAATGGCTTATTTCTGGATAGAATCTAATAGCATCAGCGTGTGTTTTGGTGCTGAACCATATATGGGAATTTTATTCTTATCCAGACCGTATCTGTGCTTTGTAGATTATGAGAAGCTGTTAAGGGGATAAGTAGCTAAGAAACTCCATGTTTTAGTGAAGCAGCTTTCTTGATGAATCTGGAACAATGAGTTCAACTTTGCTAGACAAAAAACAGCATTGTGCTCTGGTGTTTTTTGACGTTGACAGATCTTCATTGACAGCGTTGACCTGCCTTCGTGGTTAGTTTCCTGATGGAAAGAAATGGGAATTCTGGAAGAGTACGTAGTATGGACACAAACAAGGCAAGTTCAGAAACAATGATTATGGGAATATTGAATTTGAAATGTTTTCAAGTCAAATTGCCTGTAAAATCCGGAAGTTTTGATTAATTATTTTTGATTTCATGTTTCGTATTTTGAATACTTCGTTAATGATAATTTAGCTCCATTACCATTGTTCAGGAGTTAGCAGGAAGCTGTATGAGTAAAATTCCGAACTGATATTCACTGCACCACGAATTCTTTCCTTCTGCTTCTAGTGTATGTTGTACTTACCTCACCATGACCTTTTTTCATGCCCTTCAGAAACCTGTCTCTCAAGCTTTTGTCTTTCTTTATATGACCTCGAATGTACTCCAGAATTTTGAATGGTAGACGCCCTGTGAGGATGTCATCCAATTTGACGAAATCATCTGATGTGTAGGTTTCATTGGAAATCTGTAGACAAAAAATACATTTCATGAATTTCTATACATACTCGACATGTAAGGGAACATCATTTATCATCTGAATTTCCCTGTTCGAATTGTAAATGAGTGATTCTTAGCTGGGAAGTGGACACATTCAATTTGGTTCATAAATATATTTTTCCGTCGACCTCGTATTAACGAATAAGTTTAATGTTTATGAAATCGTTCATTAATGACCCCTATTAATGGACAATTTGTCTATTAATGCACGATTGTTTTATAGGCAACCAAACGTACACCGCGTGCATTCATTGTTTATGCTATAACTAGCGGAATCTGCATTTAAATCGAAAATATGAATTTCATCGACGATTTTCCGTTAACGGGTTCGCCTTCCCAAGTTTCTGACACGATTTTAATTCCTGTTTTCTAACACAAAGAATTTATTTCCTATGTTGATCATTTTGACAAATGTCAAATGACACTAATGTCAGTAACAAGGCTACTGGGTGATTCTTAGCATTCTCCGGATGGATGATGAATTCGCGAACCAAGTTTTTTCCATTGCAGGAGAAATGAGAAATATTGTCGACGGAAAAATTGTGTAACCAACTTGTATATTAAAAGGCGATCAATGATATCGAACATTAACGCACTCGCTTCGCTCGCACGTTAAAATATCTCGATCATTAATCGCCCTCATTAATGCACTAGTTGGTTGAATAACTATATATCGATTATTCTTTTATGTTTCTGACCACCAATAGACATTTTTTATTCATGCTGTACCGAATCAAAATACAGGGAAGTTTGATTCAAACTCTTTTGATAATAGGGGACTTCGCTCCAGGTTGCCAACCCTAAAACCTCTACCCTTGTAGAAGCAACATTATGGAAGTTTTATTACTCCATTTTGATAAATTTTGATTGTAGGAGTCTACTCAGCTTTCGTACAGAAGTTATTCAAAAGAAATATTAGTTTTCGTGAATCTCACCTCAGATTGGTTGAAAATTATGGAGTTACATCCCAATTTATTCTGAAATATATGTTATTTCGTTGTCAATGTTACTGTCATATTCCACATCCTTATTAGTCATTTTCATATTAATCATTTACTTCAAAATTTATGGTTTTTTGGTGAAGGTGGAGTTTGATAATTGCAGTAGGCAAGCAGGGCTGTATCTTATTTATGTGCTGAAAATCTAGTCTAACATGACGAGATGTTTATACAAAAATTGTAAAGATAAAATTTCGACCCTTTCCTAAAATGGAGAATATCCCAGAGAAGTGTCTCAAGTGGAAGAAGCTGTATGGAAATGGAAAAAATCACAGTTGATACCATAACTAGAAACACATACATATTATGTAGTAAGCATTTTTTTTGGTAAATTAACTGCTTATTCCTATTCCTTCATACCCAGATACAGTGCATGACATAATACATCAATCATACTGACATTATCGATTTTTATTGACAGTATGGACATAAATCAGATGTAATCATGAAGATGATGGAAAGCCCTAAATTTTCATTTTCCATTGTCACTCGAAATTTGGGCTTTCCATCATCTTCATTATTATATGTATCTTTTCGGTCGAATAACCGACAAAAATTATCAGTCACTCCTATATAAATCAGATGCACCACCATATAATTTTCAACCAATCTGAGGTGAGATTCACAAAAATTAATATTTCTTCTGAATAACTTCTTCAAGGAAGCTGTGTAGATTCTTACAATCATTTTTCATCAAAGTCCCCTATTAAAACTTCTGTTTTGAAACGATATACAACTTTTCCGATTGTGAAAAAGAACTTATAGAAGTTATACCTCTCCTTGTGTATCTGGGATGATAGATAGCACAGTTGTTAGAGCCACTTTGGTCTTGTTGAAGTTCTCGTTCTCCTCACACACATTCCCGACGCTAACTTTAGGCGTTTCGGAATCACACTCCTCCTCATCCTCAGTAGTGACGGAAACAGTTTGATTGCCTGTGGTTACTGCCGTAGACACCGCAAAGAACGTAATGTCGTCATTCAATCCGCCACTTTTCGGGTTTTTATCGTCCATGTTCAAATTGAGGTTCAATTTCACTTCCATATCGTTGTCCTTGATGGGTTTATCGAAGTCAAACAACATTTTCTCTGTACTTGATTTATTCGCATGCATGATTTTATCGAACACGTTGTCTAGTGGTGGGTTGTCACGTCTCTTCGACTTTGATTTTGTGAAATAATCTTTGGAAGATAGGGGGAATATGTTTCTTTTCGGCTCCGTTTTCTTCACTGCCAAAGATCGTTTTCTCAGATTCTCTTCGTTGACTTTGTCGCTGATGACGAACTGAGGCCAACGTTGGAACTCAGACTTTTCCAAAAACCGTTGGCTAGGAGCTTCTCTAACCTTCTTCGCTTTCGGTTTGACAACTTTTTTATCTTCGTTCTCCTTGTTCGGAGTCTTATTTTGTTTGTGGAGTCTTCTCCCGAAACTCGCCAGCTCTTCGTCTGTATCATCTTCCCCTTTATCGCTTTTTTTATTCTCGGCTGCCTCCTCGTAGTATTCCTCATCATCATCATCTTCTTCCGTAGTAGTAGCTACCGGATCAGCAAACTCGTTGTCAGTCTTCTTCACCAGTTTATTATTTTCTTTTTTCTCTTTTATCATAGAATCTTCTTCGTCGCCGTAATCACCTTCCACGGAATTTTTGTGAACCATGCCAACTCTTCTGTTCCTGTCAGTGGAAACAATTTCTTTGACATCTGTGGGTACTATTTCCCTAGGGCCTATATCCACGTCATACACATACTCTACTCCTTGCAAGTGTCTTCCGAAAGCGGGAATGCCTTCGTAATCGTTTGGTAGGAACTCGTCGTTTTCATCTCTTCCTACATTGTATCGAATTTTGTCTCTGTAGCTTTTGTGTTTACGTTTTTTCTTCTTCCTTTTCGTGGTGTCCGTGTTTTTTCGATCTGCTACTGGTTCCATGTTGTCATCTTCTTCAGCACATATGCCTCCTTCACATTCATTCGTCGAGACTCTATTGGTCTTATTCGTTTCTGGTTGTGCTCGGTTTAGAGAGAATTTCTCTCTCTCCTTCTTATGATGTTTATTTAGCGGCTTAGTGAATATTTTGACTGTTTTATGATGTTTATTCGTGTTGTCGAAGCAATCTTTTGCATGTGGTTTCTGTACCACTTCAGGTACATTCTCTTGAGATTCTGCTTCTGGCAATACTTTCGGTTCTTCGCCATTTTCTTGTTCTTTTCCTTCTGGGCGCTCTCCTTCATTTATTTGATTCTGATCCAATACTGTGATTGTTTCGATACTAGTGACCATCAAGTGATCGTGAATATGTTGATCTACTTTGTGGATTCTTGTTAATGGAAAAGTGTTGGCAGGGTGTTGATTTTGTTTTTCTTTATGACCATGGTGATGATCAAGTTCATTCAAATGTTCTTCTATTCCTATACATTCGTTGTGTTGATGTTCTTCTTGAGGTTTGGGAATTTTTGCATTACCTATGCCTTCGTTTTCTAGATGTATAACTTTAGATTCATTTTTATTCTCCATTGTTCCTTCAGTGTCTATGCTTCCGTCTGTGAGATGGTTCTGATGGGGATGAAGCTTACCATTGTTATGCAATTTTGGTTCTACGACGATTTCTTTTGTTTCTTCAGTATCTATGCTTTCGTCTGTGAGATGGTTCTGATGGGGATGAAGCTTACCATTGTTGTGCAATTTTGGTTCTTCGACGATTTCTTTTGCTTCTTCAGTATCTATGCTTTCGTCTGTGAGATGGTTCTGATGGGGATGAAGCTTACCATTGTTGTGCAATTTTGGTTCTTCGACGATTTCTTTTGCTTCTTCAGTATCTGTGCTTTCGTCTGTGAGATGGTTTTGATGGGGATGAAGCTTACCATTGTTATGCAATTTTGGTTGTCCGACGATTTCTTTTGTTTCTTCAGTATCTATGCTTTCGTCTGTGAGATGGTTTTGATGGGGATGAAGCTTACCATTGTTATGGCATTTTGGTTCCTCGACGATTTCTTTTGTTTCTTCAGTATCTATGCTTTCGTCTGTTAGATGGTTCTGATGGGGATGAAGCTTACCATTTTTATGCAATTTTGGTTCTTCGACGATTTCTTTTGTTCCTTCAGTATCTATGCTATCGTCTGTGAGATGGTTTTGATTTTGATGGAGATGAAGCTTACCATTGTTATGCGATTTCGGTTCCTCGACGATTTCTTTTGTTCCTTCAGTATCTATGCTATCGTCTTCGAGATGGTTTTGATGGAGATGAAGCTTACCATTGTTATGGCATTTTGGTTCCTCGACGATTTCTTTTGTTTCATCAGAATCTATGCTTTCGTCTGTCAGATGGTTCTGATGAGGATGAAGCCTACCATTGTTATGGCATTTTGGTTCCTCGACGATTTCTTTTGTTTCATCAGAATCTATGCTTTCATCTGTCAGATGGTTCTGATGAGGATGAAGCTTACCTTTGTCATGCTTTTCTGGTTCTTCGTAGGTTTCTTTCGTTTCTCCGGTATTTATGCTCCCAATTTGTAATTGAGGTTCGTGAGTGTTTTCACCTCTGTTTTCTTCCATGTCTGTACCTTCATCTTTCGAATGTTTTTGGTGGTGATTGGGATTTTGTTCATGATTATTGTGATGCAGATTATGTTCATGAACATTTTCATCTGTTTCTCTAGCATCTGAACCTTCTTCTTCATTTTGGATTTCGTGATGATTTTGATTTGATTCCATTTCTTTGTGATTCTCTTCTGGCAGTTCTGTTGCCTCTTCGCCATTATCTTCGTTCTCTTTATGTGCATTCAATTCATCGACCGTTTCTTCATTTGTTTCTACTGGTCCATCAGCAACTTTTCCGTTATCGTCTAGCCTTGATTCATCTATTTGCTCAGGCTCCTGCTGTTCTCCCAATTGATCAACTTGCATCATTTGTTCTTCTTCATAGTTTTTCACCCCAATATCTTCGATGTTTTGGACATTATGTTCTCCATCGGGTGCTGGTATTAAAAATACCGTTGTTGTTTCTCTGTATTCTTCTGGTATGAGTTCGTCCACGTTGGATTCAGCCATCACTTCTATTTTTCCTATATCCCCATTGAGCTTATCTTCAATTGAGGAATCAGGAGGTACGTTATCTTCTAAAGTATTTCCATCTAGAGGGATGCTTAGATTTGGCTCTTCTTTTGATTCGATGTTATTTGGTCCATAAGCGTGTTCATCGATGGTCTGGATGGATTCTATGGCTCCTTCCATGATTTTACTTCCAGTTTGTGAGTCAATCAAGACGATATTGGGTGTGATGTTTCTCTCTTCAGGATTGATCTTTTTCGCCTCGTTGACATCGTTTCCGTTCATAGGCATGTAGCTATCGAATCCACTTTTCGAAGGTTTTACATCGGCATTGTAAACAATGTTTTTGTTGTCTCCATCTGCGTTTATACGAACTCTGCCTTCTATGGTCTGAGATTCTCTTTTCTTCGGCCTGATGTAATTATTTTTCATATTGTCCGCGTCTATGACCACGCTTTTCACCAATTCAAACCCATCGTTGTCGGTTGATTGTTGGGTGCTTATTATCGGTTTTCCATTCCAGTTGCCCCTGGCAAATTCTAATCCCTTCTGCATTTGGCTCCTTTCCGTTGATTGTTGGGTGCTTATTATCGGTTTTCCATTCCAGTTTCCCCGGGCGAATTCTATGCCCTTCTGCATCTGGTTCTTCTCCGTAGCGGTCCAGAATTGGCTCATATCCTTCATACCGTTGTGATTGTATCCGCTCTGATTATCTTCCTTGACAGTTACCTTGTCTTGATCAGGAAGGAAGAGGTTATCTGGGTCTGGCAAAGTCACGCGATAGAGTAGAGCTGTTTGCCCTAGTTTTTCCCTAGCTATACTGCTGTCGGTGTTCAGATTCTCGTTGGCGTTGAATAGGTTCTTGAAATTGTTAGAGAACTCTCTGTTATTCGTCTCTGAGTCTGCGGCGCTTCTTTGCACTGGAAATATTTTCAATTGGGAATCTTGGGGTCTTAGTTGATTGGCGTCGTTTTCTGTGGGCATCGGTTCAGGTTTGTAAGCCGGAGGTGGATTCCTGAATTTGTCTAATGATTGTATATTCAGCACGATGGATTTAGGATCTTTGTCGTTTTCTCTGATTTGTTTCACTAATTTACCGTCGTTTAAAACGTCGATTTGGATTTCTCTCTTCTGATTCACATTTTCTCTGTGATTATTGAAGAATCTGTCTGGGTATTTATCGTCTGATCTCTTTATTTCGCCATCGTCGCTTTTGGGGTTGATGTAGATGTCCCGTTTATCGAAAAGCGAATCTTTGTCGGAGTGTCTCCTTTGTCTTGGGTTCTTCGGAGCGTATTTTCTGTTCTTGCCGGGTTTGTCGAATGAGGTTCCGAAATTTTCGTAAGGATTCTTTTTTTGTTTGTACATGTGAGGGTAGATGTCGTTCTTGGGTGCTTCGTCCAAGTACTCGTTCTCCTCTTCTAGATTGTCGAACAATTTCTGAAATATAAAATCGTTCAGTGATTTCGGATTGCAGCGACTGAATATTGTCAGTAGGTTAATCAAGAAGGTACAATATTGATTCCTCTAAATTTTTTTGTGATTTCCTCTCGTCTCTATGAATCAAAATACTAGTATTATTTCGATTCGCCCTAAAATGTTATTGCTTTTCAAATGTAACCAACAGAAACGTAGGTTCCATGTGAGTGGGGCGAACACCTCCCCTCCACTGCGACCCCAGATGGGAACAGAAACGTAAAGGAGATATTGAATCGATAGTCGGTCACTCATTGTTCTGAAAATATTTTGAGAAGGAGAGTATAGGCATATTGAAAAACTTATCTTTGTTGGTGAAAGTCATCATCTAATTGAGAATATGTTGTTCTTAGTTATACTAACTGCGCAGTCAATGTCTGCCATGGTCGTGTTCACATGTTTATCCTAATCTCAAATCACCAAACTATACAAAGAGCCTTATTCCTAAATATATAACTATTTAATGAATACACAAAGCTCAAAGTCATTTCCACACAATGTTCATATATAATGAACAACTATGGTAGATTTCGGGAGAGAAACAACTACTTTGTTAGAGAAACTAGCGTAGATCCGGTTAGTGGTAAAGCAAGTGACACAGGATACATGTAACAGCCTGTAGTTTCGTTATTTGAAGTGATAAAAATTTGAAATTCACAAGGACAATTTTTTTTAACAACTTGTTTGATTGGAAGTCGACCCAACTTTGTTCCTCCAAATGGCACCCTGTATATTTCTGTTGTTTATCTTGAGCGCCTTAAAATTCTCTATTCAACTATGTATCACAATTTGATATCCATTCATTGATTGGCTGTTAAATTGGATTTTATTGAAATACATGAAGTTGACTGTGGCCCGAATACAATGACATTTCGATACTTGATAGGCTTAGAGATCCAAAGATCATTCTTTAGACGATATTATCAGAATATTTTCCATACCCTGATCGGTCCCAGAAGATTTCCAATAATTTCATTGAGTTTGAAAAAATCATCCGAAAATAACTCAATTCTTATAACAATTTCAGTTTCATGTATCCAAATGAATGATCATATTATGGCTAAATGGCAAAAAAGAAATACAAATAGTTTCTTCACAAGTAGCAAATTGAAAAAAACTGATTTTCTATCTTAGTTTTCTCAATATCTTGAGTTATTTTCGGATGATTTTTTTAAACTCAATGTAATTATTGGCAATCTTTCGGGACCGATTAGGGTATGGAAAATATTCTCATAATATCGACTAATCTTTTGATTTCTAAGCCTATCAAGCATCGAAATGTCATTGCATTCGGGACACAGCAAACTGATGTATTTTAATAAAATGCAATTTAACAGCCAATTAATGAACGAATATCGAATTGTGATACATAGTTGAATAGAGAATTTCAAGGCAAATAAGATAAGCTACAGAAATATATAGGATGCTATCTGAAAAAAAAAAGTTGAGTCTACTTCCGATCAAACAGGTGGTTGAAGAAAATTGTCATTGGCTTCAAGGGCAGCGCCATCATCGATAATATAACCCTTGTGAATTTAAAACTTGTCTTCAAATGGAAAAACTACAGGCTGTTACATGTTTCCTGTGTCACCCGGTATAGTGGTTACGAGTATAATAATGTAAGGCTAATTTTCATCCATAGATACAGAGGAGAAAAATCCCAAAAAATTTAGGGAAATTGGAGTAACTGGATTTTGTTTAACTATGTTTGTATCTGCTAGGGTATCCGTGTCATAGTCCAACCCGTCCTTTTCTTGTTTCTCTGCGATAGCCCTTATCAGTCTAAAGTCGCCCTTGTACTGTTGGACGTCCGACAGCCATTGGTTCAGCTCTTTGGGAAGTCCAGGTTTTGGTTTATAATACTGAAACAAAGTAGGAGAGTTTTTTGTTAGGGTCTATTCGGAAAAATTATCACTCTCCGTCGAATGCTTTCAGCATAAACTTCTAGTTTTCAAGTTTTTGAATTTTTAATGCACCTCCAACAAGTTAAAGAGTTAAGAAACATCGCAGCTATCATACCGATATTACTTATATAGGTAATTATTCCCAATACCTTAAGTGCACCACTCATAGTTTGACTCTTCAGACAACCTATGTTTTCCAAAAGAATTGATTGCTTTACTTGCGGTTTTCTGAATAATGAGAGGAAATGAAGAGAACGAATTCATTGCCTGAGGAAGTATTCCCAAAAACATATAATATCCAAAAGTTCAAAAAAATTCCAATACCTACCCCTTGTCCCTATCCTCCCTAGGAACGCACGATGTTCTTTGAACATTATAGGGATTTCCTTTCGTGCGCTCCAAGCGATAAAAAAAACGAAACTTCCACAGGGTGTAAACAGAAACCATCAAATTTTTCTTCAAAGATAAAATTCGAAGTGGTGCAATTATTGTAATGGATACCGTAAACAGGGTGTTTGAGATTTGAATGTACATACGCTAGCTGTATAGATAGATAACATTTTGGTGTTGATTTCAAATCATCCTCCATTGATATGTCTATACCGTCTTTTTTATAATGAGATATTGAGCGTTATCTTGATTTTGGCAAAATCTCCATATGATCATAAACAAATTCAATCATAGTAATTTTTTGTAAAATCCGACATATCATTTTTGTAAAATACCTGAAGTGTATTCAGTTTTCCCTCATATATTCAATTAACAATATCCAATTTCTGATTGGGAGAGCACAAAGATTTCACGCCTCAAACCAATTTCCTAGAACCAACAGTAAATTTATACAAACCTGTAAAATTTCTAAATCTGATTTCTTTATATAAACTCAAAATTTGTTGTTGAGTACCATAAAGTTGAAATATAAATATCTCATATAGTTTACATAACAATACCCGAAGTAGGTACTTCGCGCACTGTTTTACTTCGCGCATTGTTTTGTGCAAGGAATCATGGTAACGTGGGATACTGAAAAAAAGTGTCGCTTCGCAATTTGTTATCAATGCGCGAACCTTGTCATTTTTTGACGTTTGTAGAAAAAGGTACGTTATATTAATAAAAAAGTACATCGAATCAGTGAACGTCAACATTAATTTTGGGCCGATGACGGGTGTCATTAATACAATGAACGCTCGTACGTAAATTTTCTTGTTGATAAAGTTATGACTGCAGTACGTTGAATCAACGAATAATGGTCATGGATCTATGTTTGCCGGTTATTGATATTACGAATGGATTTACATTGGTTCATGGTTGTTGTACATTGAATCAATAAACAGCGAGCATGGATCTATGATGATAAACATTGAATTATGGTTGATGTACATTGTATCAATTAACAGTGAGCATGAATATGTAAGTGCCAGTTACGAAGGACAGACTCAGTTTATTACAGCTGAACATTAAATCAATAATCAGCTAGCATGGATCTATGATCGGCGGTTATTGATATTACGAACGATAGACATCACTTGATGATGTTCTTCATTGAATCAATGAAAAATAAGCATGAATCTATGTTCGCCAGTTATCGATGTAACGAACAAATTCTATTGGTATTTAACAGTGGAGTCGTCGTCGAAGATAATGTTGTCAACAGTATCGTCACTATCAGAAATAAGGGGACAATTTTTTCACGCATCAGAGTAATTAATTTCTAAAATTTTGAAAAACCCAAAATCGGCCCAAAATTATCTAGTACATCCACTAATTTGATGTGACCTGATGAATAATATAATAAACATTTACAAGGCAGTCGCAGAACACTGGTTTCCTTGATGAAATATCATTTTTCTTTATTTTTTGTTGAAATCTACCTAATTGTATTGAATAACAAATGAAATGAATATTATTTAATGAAGTCAACTGAAAATGTTTCCGAAATGTCAAAAATACACTAAATGATCGAAGACTGATAAACTTGGACGATATTCAAAAAACAAATATTCGCTCACCCATGGACGTATAAAAAATGCGCTCACCTTATACATTTTTAGTTACTAGATCTGGTAACATACCTTAGGTTAGGTTACTAGATCTGGTAACATATCTTAGGTTAGGTTACTAGATCTAGTAACATATCTTAGGTTAGGTTACTAGATCTGGTAACATATCTTTGTTTAGGTTACTAGATCTGGTAACATATCTTAGGTTATGTTACTAGATCTGGTAACATATCTTAGGTTGGGTTACCAGATCTGGTAACATATCTTAGGTTAGGTTACTAGATCTGGTAACATATCTTAGGTTAGGTTACTAGATCTAGTAACATATCTTAGGTTAGGTTACTAGATCTGGTAACATATCTTAGGTTGGGTTACTAGATCTGGTAACATATCTTAGGTTAGGTTACTAGATCTGGTAACATATCTTAGGTTGGGTTACCAGATCTGGTAACATATCTTAGGTTAGGTTACTAGATCTGGTAACATATCTTAGGTTAGGTTACTAGATCTGGTAACATCTCAATCAATTTTTTCAATTGGAATGCCCAGTATATTTGCATATTTTCTGAAGCATTTCTGCTTCAAAAATTCCTGAAAATAGCAAAAATCGCAAAAATTCCTGAAAATAGCAAAAATCGCAAAAATTCCTGAAAATTGCAAAAATTGCAAAAATTCTGGAAAATTGTAAAAATTTCAAAAAATTCCTGAGAATTGCAAAAATCGCAAAAATGCCTAAAAATTGCAAAAATTCCTGATAATTGCAAAAATTTCTGAAAATTGCAAAAATTCCGGAAAATTGTAAAAATTCAAAAAATTCCTGAAAATTGCAAAAATCGGAAAAATGCCTGAAAATTGCAAAAATTTCTGAAAATTGCAAAAATTGCAAAAAATCCTGAAAACTGCAAAAATCGCAAAAATGCCTTAAAATTCCTAAATTCCTGAAAATTGCAAAAATCGCAATTAACAAGTCTCACCTTTCTCGAATATGTTAGGTTTTGTATCCCTTTGATGATCTGGCACAATTTCACAAATAGGTAGGAATTCTACGAGCCACAGAAACACAAAACACGACCCAGCCCTTTCAACTTTTCATTAACAACTGAACGAATAGAAATAAAATAAAACGGCAAATGAAAAATTCACCGCGTATTATGAAACCTTTTCATAGTAATAATGTTTGGCGTGATTGATCCATGGGTAGGCAGCATTAATTTGGCGCCTGTTTTGGAAGTTGATGTTTCATTTCATGAAATCAACGTTTAGTGTTCATTGAAACAATGAAAACCATTCATTATTTTCTTATGTTTGTTGTTGATAGATCTATGACGAAAAGTTTATTGCTCCAATGATGAAAAACATAGATCAATGAACATCAAACGTTGATTAAATGAATTTTTCCATCACATGAATAAAAAAAAATGATTAACTTCTGATGTTTTTCGTTCATTGTTCAATGTTGGCTCGTTCATTGTTTCAGTGTCTTGCGGTATGAACCCATCATCAGAAATGATTGTAATAATCATCGATTCGTAATATTAATGTTCAAAAAATTGACGACCGCCGTTCATTAACTTTACGTACAAAATTATTTTATGTGTGAAATGCTGAGAATCAAAGAAATATTTGGCCCTATATGTTTTTTTGAGATAACATTCGATTTGGTCCCATCTTACTATAGTTGTGAATCATATCTAACCACCACGAATGGCACGAATACCCCTTATAACATGAAAAAAATTTGGCTTCGGAATTTTTTTTGACTGTAATATTATTCCTCTAGATTTTTGAGTTTCTATCTCCTTTGTTGAAAAACTCAGTATTTTGATTTTTGGATTTTTTCCTCTGATGAGTGAATCTGAGCTGATTTAAATTCACCCTAAATATAAAATATAAATCCCAAACGAAAGAGATGGAGCCCTATGATGAAAGTTGTTCATAACATTTGCCACTGGACTGAATCAGTTGAGAATTATTATTTTTGTGTTCCTTTGATGAATTGAGAATAACGGATTTTGTTAGTCATCAAGTTTCCTCAATCTGATTTCTCTCGATTTTTTTCATGGAGTCAAAGACGAAATACAGAACAGTAACGAGGTTGGTATTTGATTAATTATTACTCAAAATATCTGAGCTCTGAGCTACATATATTCAATCAGTTCTCGTTTTATATAACTGGAAAACTTCCCTTTATCCTCGACTTACCGGAATAAGCTTTCTGACGAACTTTCGAACTGCTAGCGAAATAATAAGCATATTCCGGGATGTTTATGCAAAAATAACAAGCGAGAAACATCTGTTGCTAAAAATGCAAGAATATTAATTCTGATAGCCGGTCGCCGTTCACGAAAATGGAAATGGAGTTCGTATAAAGTTGGCGGGGTAGGAGGAGTGCAGCTTTTTATTTTCCTATTACCGACCAGAGAAGTTATTGTTTTACTTAGACCCGGCTTCTTAATAATTGATAAGATTATGCGCCAGAGGAGTGAGGGGAGAAAATGATATGGGAGGATATGAACTAGTGAAATGTGTACTTGAGTTTATTGAAAGCTCAAGTTCTAGGTAATTTCCAAAAAATTTGAATTGAAGTTAATATTATTTTCGCTGAAACCAAAAGTAGTGGGTTGTATGAAATATTGAGAGAATTCCTTATTTTCAAATTCAATAGTTTTGCCAAGTTTGAATTGCATACCCTGAAAACTATAGAAACATAAAAACTATGGAAATGAAAACAACATAGCACCTAAATACAGTAATATCCCAAGACCATAAGGAATAGTCAACTATCATTTTCTTCATAATTTCATCGAAAGTTAAGCCTTATATTTTGACAATTTGATTCCATGTGAACATCAATATGACTATTCATATTGACGAACTGACTTGTCTCAAAATAAAATTTACTCCAGATGAATTCAAGAAAATAATAGTCTCTAATAATAATAATAATAATCGTTCTTTATTGAATTGAATACATATGATATAACATATAAGTACAATCATTACTATTCAATTCTACCGGCTATCGACCTAGGTCCTTCAGCCTCTATCGACCTAGGTCCTTCAGCCTTAATAGTCTCTATTTGTCATAGCTGAGTGATATTTAGGACAATATAAGTTCCAACGTTCTGTTCAAGGTGAATTTCGGCAATCACGAGAGGTATTCACATTTGGCGGTCGTAACTTCTTTTTGGGCCAAAAAACCGCACCAAAAAATAAAAAATGATGGATCCGAGCATTTTTTCAAAAAAGCAACCACTCATTTATTTTTAAATTAGACAAGACATCCGGAGAGTACATACTGCATGTATATCTCGATGTATATTACGTTTTTTTCTCCCTATAGTTTGACGTCACCGCGTCACAGTACGTGTCGACAGATTTCCCTTTTAATGCACTAAAAGGTCCTTGTTCTCTCCTGCCGAGAGCCCAAGACTCGTCTGACATAATGAAATTTCGTATCAATTTATCAATTTTTATGCGGGACTCCGGGATAAATGGTCCATTTATATCTCTGCCTCGAGTCAGTGGCGTCACATCGAACCATTTATGGCTATTCGAATCATTGAATATTACTATGAAAAAGAAATTAACGCATCAGCAAAAAGTATCCGAAACCTTAGGAAACATCTTCGTCAAAACTACTTGTCCAAATTGGACGTTCTTCGTTTTGAATGACAGGTTATTTTCTTCTGAAATTGGTGTGCTGACTGTGTTCGCATAAGAACCTCTTTTCCATGAATACCGGGTGCAGCAATTATAGCGTGTTGAAATTTGTGATACCCTGTGCAGTGTTACACTCACGTTATCAAGTTGAAATTGAGTACACTTTAGCCTTATCTTTTTTCAACATTCCTCTTTTGGATTCACTCCTATTACTCGAGAAACGCCATTTTATAGCGTAACATGATTTGATGGGAAATTAATATCCAAATTAAATAACGAAAGAATGTAACAGTATACGAAGTCACAAGTGTCAGTAGCGAGTATTTCCGCCATGGGTATGAAAAACTTCTTGGCAAAGACGGTCTATACCCAAAATAAGAGACCTTATGTCATGTTGATCCAGGTCTTCCCAAATTTGAATTATCAGTATCTGCCGTGCGTTTTCCAAAGTATCCAGATTACGTCCCTCTTGTAATCATATCCCAAGAATTTTTCAGAGATCATCAATTGGATTTAAATCCCGGATTCGAGCTGGCTATGCCATGGTAGCGATATACAGACTTCCTCTAGATAATTTCTCACAACTCGGGTGACGTGAAGCCTGGCGTTATCTTGCATCAACAAAAATCCTTACACTATATGTGGTTCTGAAATCACTGATATGTACCTTTCAGCTGTGAGTATCCATTCATTATCACATACAAAGTGAGGACATAGGAAAAAATAATATTCCGGTCCGGATATGGATTTCGTTCAGAAGGCTACTTCCCAAACTTGAACCCGATCGGGTAATCCCTGTATTTAATAAGGGAAATTGAATGTTATTCAAAATCCACAAATCACCCCGTATGTCAGTACCGAAGCGGTTTTGGACATTTGTAGACGGCATCATATTGGCAGTTTCTATAACCCTATGAGTTTTGTCGGTTTTATCTCCAGACACCCTGTATATATATTCATTTTACGTAACTGGTGTTGAAATGAACTATACATCATCAGCTCTGTAATATTTTACTTTTCGCAACTATAGTTACGTAAAGTAAGACGTTTCAAAACTTCCGTCAGTTTTGAAAAGTATCCAATTAAATGTAAAACTATAAAAAAATATATTCTGCGAGTCCCAGTATGTATGTATATAGGTACGGTACTGGTTCTCTTTAAATATTATTCCATTTCTGAGGTGAATTTTACGTTTATCGAATGAATTCGAGCAATGAGCTAATGCGTCTCCCTCATTCTGCTGCCAAGACGGAAATTAAATTGTTTCATCGCGATCGGCTGATGTTTCTTTTGTCGAAGCTAGACTTCTTGCTCTGAATACCAAAATACTCATTCGCCATCGTGGATTATCCTCGGCAAAACTCCTCGAAATTTTTTTAGAAAATGAATATCATTACTTAGGTTTCTTATCATTATTTTCAAAATAGTCCGAGATACAATAATGAAAGTCGAGAAAATACCACAACTTTCAATTATTTTATGAAAGAAAAAATACTTGAAAAAAAGCGTTGGCTGAGAGTATACTAAGTAGCAGCAGACTCTGTTTAATACACTCCTGAAGAAAACATATATTGTCCTGTTTTTTTTTGATTTTATCGAAATTTTTACTCACCTCTAGAAAATCCAAATCTTGTGTTTCAACAAATATATTACAAAAAAATATGAATATTGCTGTTTTCCTCAATAGGGGCCCAAACATAAACCTGAAACAAAACAAAATGATGAGAAATATGTATCTCTATATTATCATCGCTCCAAATGTTTCAAGCTATTATACTGAAAAATATTTAAAGCTGAATATTTATTCATTCCAGTACGCCCCAAAGGAATACCTCATTGATATTTTTGTGCTAAAAATTATTGTGTTCCATTATTTATGATATACTCCCAAGACTTTTGATTGAAATGAGGAACCTATACGTAAGAAACATTACTGGCTTACCCACCGAAAATTCGGTGGAACATGGCATAATTCATTAAAAAAAAACTCTTCGTCGCACGTTCACAGTCGAACTGAAATTTTATCTTTGTCGAATAGCATTAACTGGCAACATCGAATTAACGATTCTCGAATGTGTTTTGTTTTGTGCCAATGTGTTGTGGTTTCTTTGTTGTTATGATGGAGGTTATGTCAATGTTATGTTGAAATAATAATGGCAGGGGAAAAAATTATTGTGCTTCATCTCAAGTGAAAACACTCAACCTGATGAAAGAAGAATAGAATGAGCCACTTTTACCTGGCATCTGGCGAAACAAATTCAGAAGACCATGTCCCTGTACCACAAATAATGGTTCTAGCATTGCAATGGACTCGCACCTGAATGTTTTTATATATTTTCTTTCTGATAAAAATCTGAACGTATTCTTGAATACGTTCTCTAGTGGCCGTTGATGATTTTCTTGATTTTCCAATTTTCAATCTCGAATAATGAAGCTGCCATTCTCAAAATGACAAGTGAAGAAATCAGTCAAATATGAAAATGTCGACTGCTTCAGACCACTCTACAATTCGTCTAGAATGAGCACTCACGTTTTTTGTTCGACAATGTAGAAATCTCGCATGCGACAAAATATCTCACCATTTGACCATTGGGTCCCAGCCTTTTTATGGTGTGCAACCATATATTTACTACTCATATTATATGAAGCATAGCTGTCCTCAAAGCGGGACCAACTTCTGTCTCTATAGGTAACGAAATCTGCCAATAGGCGTTGATGCCGACGTAGCGAAAAAATAAAACGAAAATTGTCAAACCAATATGTCTGTTTCCATCCTTCACTTTCCGTCCTTATAGATTCAAAAAGTTCCTCTCATTTTGGTCCCATTTTTGTTGAGATATCGTATAGGCGATGGGCCATATATAGAAATAGTACATATATGTGTGCAACCCTATATCATTGTTTTCACAATAAAACAGTGCTCATTTTTATATTTAGTTTATAGATCAAACAAGTAGGTGAAAATAACTAGGACCAAAATACCTGATGTTTATACCTGGCAACCCAATAGTTGGACCGGAAAATATATACACAACCATGTTTGTATTATATTCAATAATTTTCGAATTTCTAATCAATTATCTCTTTCAGGTACAGGAATTTCTAAATTTAACACCCCTTAGATGTACAGCTTTATTTTTCTTCAGATTTTCAAGAGATTCATTAACAATCTAACTCCAAATGTTTCAAAAGATACGAACAAATATGAAAGAATTTCAGAATTTTACAATTTAAAAAAAACGGTGGGTCAAAATCTAACCCACCATTCCATAAGGTGAAATATTTCATGAGAATCGACTCATTTCAAATCACTGTGAAACGTCTGCAAACATGTTTTGTTCTTTGCAAGATTGAGTGAAACACACAACCAGTTTGTTCAAACTTCAAACTTTCCTGAATTGCAAAGATCATTATCTCCTTCGACCTGTTCGGATAGGTTGATGAGCACCCTGTGTGACTGTCATTACCGGGCTTTGACTGAGTGTTTTTCTCTATTTGACTCGTCCATTCGAATGATGTTCTCGATGAAGATACTGATATTTATTGACGACTAAATGATCAAATCTTTCATTGATAACTTCGAAAGATAATAGAGGATTCTGTAAAGAATAAATGAGATGACTACAGCGGCATCCAAGGAAAAGATTTCATGAATATCTGTTCCTTTATATTTCTTTCAAGTCGTCTGATAATTCTGCTTAGTATATAGATTGATCTGGAAAACTATGTGATTCAATAATTTGTCCGTGATGAACTGACGAGAGAGATTATCCATATTGAGCACCAAAGTACTTGAAAGAGTTATAGCCAAGCCAGGATTTTTCCAGGCATCCTATTCTTTTTTATAATATTCAACAAGCTAAATTATAGAATAATTTTCATCCAATAAAGAGATGGATGGAGGTCGACCTAACTTCGGATCTTAGACTAATATAATAACAGAGCCGTTTATAAGAGAGTATTATTACATTTCTTTTCCTTCAGATATTGTGTCTCATCAATCTGGAAATGGAAATGCCTCGAACTGATAAGTCGCCAGACAATCGAGAAAGATCCTCGTCCCGTCAGCGAATGATGAATCTCCACCCCTTTGAGAGTATTTTTTCGAGATGTTTTCGGTAAATTAGAGAGGACTTACATTCCGGAAAACAATGAACCGCTAGAGCATCCGACATGCAACAAAGAAACCATTAGGCGCAAAAAAGGGCTGTATGCCGGAATGAAGACGATGGGGAGCGTTGATGGATACAAATATGCATACGTCGGACAAGTTGGGAGTTGTTGGACAAGACGGAGTTGCGGACAGGACCACGACAGGACAGGACTACCGAAATTCGGGAGTGTTCGGAGGTTAGTAATTCGAGCTGAATATACAGGGTGTTTCCTAACTACGGTTCCTAGCTGCAGGGGGTGATTTATTAGGTCATTTTAAGAAGAAAAGTTCTATGAACATATGTCCGGAGTTGCTTCGTTTCTGAGATACAGGGCGTTGAAATTGAAGAAAAACTATTTTTGTCCATAGCATCTGCAGTTGAATTCTTTTTATGTTCTTTCTACGTCGTTTCGAATTTTTTCCACATTTTGTTGGGTCCCTATTAAAATGTTTGTTCTTTTCGGTTTCGCGAGTCTGTTCCTGTTCTCTCCGTAGGGTAGTTCACCCTCGGCGGTTGCACACAATAATAGAGGCAGGCGCTGGCAGATCAGGCTTCGCCAGCGGCGTCGGATAGATTCGACGCCGACGCCGCATTCCTCTACGTCACTCGGCTCGAGGCACTTCTAATTGTTCGGGAGCGAAGACAACAACTATTATTCAATGCTACTCCTATTATACTATCTCTTTTCGCTTCCCCATCTCCCTTTTTCCACTCATTATTACCATCGAACATCAACTTTCAGAAAGTTGATGTTATTTAGTATCTCTACATTCTCCAACTGACAATAGGTTACATAAATTTTTCTAGAAACTCTGAATCTTCTCTGATTTGAATTTTTTATCATGTTCTGGTTCCCATGAAAATGGATATCCTGTAATGTTCAGAGAACATCGTGAGAACCAAGGGAAATAAGGAAGGAATTGGTGTTCTTCTTAAATTTCTATAGGTTATATGCCGCTGGGAAAACCTCCCTTGGCAATGTGTTCCAGAGCCTCGCTGTTCGTTCAATGTACGAGTCTTTGGAAAGAGATGTTCTGCAGGTCTCCAACGTGACCACGAAGGGGTGCGAAGCCTCAACTCGACGGGTAAAATCGCGGGGACTGCCAAGGGAGGAACAATTATTGTTGATATTTCAGAAGAGCATCGTCCATGAAAATATCTATAAAAAAGAGCCAGATCGTCAATTTTTTTACGGTGTTCCAGGGACGTGAGTGAGTTTGTGAGCGAGGCATCACCCACGAGACGAATTGCCGTTTTTTGGACAGAATCCAACAGTTTTAGGGTAGTTTTGGGTGCTGCACTCCAAATATGGGAACAGTATTCCAGGACAGGTCGGATCTATGCATTATAGATCATAAGCAGCTGACTGGAAGTATTCAGAGTGGCCCAACGAAAAGTATTCACCTTGCTTCTCTCCTTCTTTTGGAATTTGAAAAAATCAAAAATGCTCGGACACGTCGATTCTGCTTTTGATACGAACACATTTGGGACAACTTTTTCGACCTGTGCCTTTGAACTCCTAGAGAGAGGGGTGTCACAACCCTGAAATTTCAAATGCTGGAATATGTGAGGTCGAGTGATATATGTATATCATTTATTAACGGTCACAAAATTGTACCTTACCGAAGAAACCCTATATTCATTATGATTTTTTTGAGGACAGTATATCCGATATGGAAGCAAATGGGTCACATTTTCAACATTTGTCAAAGTTAACGTTTTAGTTTACCCACTTCTTACAAAGCACTGTTACAAGTACCTAACGAACATTGGAACGTACTAATGTTTGAAAATGTTTTCGTTTTTCACAATCCTTACTATTTTTATTTTTCATCAATACCAGAGTTATCGGTTATAATTGCACAAGTGCATGAAAATTACCGATAATTTTGCAAGAAAGCGTGTTATCTAAAAATTGCAAGTTTATTTTCATATTTTGGCGAAAGAGCCCGCGAGTACAGAGGAGGAGAGCCATATACCAAATATGAAACTAACTGACTGCAATTGAATGCAAAATTATCAAGTCATGTTTTTGCACGAATGTGAAATATTTCACGAATGAAGAAATTCCCGAAGACATGTTGTTTATTCCTGAGAAATATCATAATACTAAAAAAGACAATAGATAAAATGTGCTATGAGATGTGTTCTAATGGCGACGGGATGTGTTCGCAGTGCAATCTTCGATCTGCAGGGCAATTACCGCTGTAGTTCATCGATAATTGTATTAGTTTTATGAAACATTTTACTTATGAGGGATAAATTCAGGTTAATGGTATATAACCATCTTAACACGGGAGCAACCACTTGCCCCATCCACATCTATGCAGACGATATTTCTCCATACTGCGTTCTCTTCTAGAATTTCCATTTTTTCCAGAATACTAAGAACTTGCGACGAAGGCAGGTCAACGCTGTCAATGAAGAACTTGGTTGGTACCGCAATTCCCACCAAGAACACTATATCTATGCTCGCTATTACCATCAGCAATACTCTCTCATGAGAAAATCATTTTCACAAAAGCTATATCGAAGACTGGAACCTTTGG